AACTCAGTCAGATTTTACACTATAAAACCAGTAAGTCATATGGACTCACTGACTTGTGTTCAAGATTTCACAAGACTTCCCTCACTACCACCTGACTAGGCAGCAATATTTTGCTCACTGACACGTGTAAATGTATGATCAAAGCTCAGAAAACTTTGATTCGGCTGTCCTCCAAGACAATCACTATTGCAGAAAGTCAGGATTTTCATAAAATGGAAGTCTCAGTACAAGGTTCAGTTCAGGGTTATTGCTCTCCTCTCCATTAGCTGGGCACGCGTTCTGACGAACACACAGGGCTCTGTGTCTGAGCCAGAAATCAAGAATAGCATGGAAAACAGCTCTAAATATCAAAAAAGAATGTATGTTCTCTGAAATCTACTGCATTCTACTTATGTCAACAGGGGCAAAACTCATCAGATCAAAGTTATGCAGAAAACTGTAGGTGCAAGGATTGAAATGCAGATGTATGCAATAACATTAGCATTACAGGACATCAGAAACATTTCAGTTTGAACTGATGTTATATCCCAGCGTGTCTTACCTTCTCCCCAGGAGCTGCTCAAGAGCTCTGCTTTCAAATCTTACCTTTTCCTCTTCAAACAGCTTAGATAATGTAGTCAAGCTTGGGAATTAGTTATAATATAGGTTACTCCTCTCTGAAACTTCACGAGATGAAAGTCTTGGAGTGCTCCTGTAACATCAAATGAAAGGCTGAAAAGGTAGTTGCACTCTCATGAAATTCACAGCACTAAATGGAGTTTCCTAGTTTCTGAGCATTATGAAGCACCAGATAAGGCTAAACCTTTGGTGATTTCCTTTGCACTCAACAGTGTCAGCTCTGCAAAAAAAGTCTTTGGCTTATTGCATGTTATCTGTTTTCTGAAGCATCCTATGTTGTCCCTTGAGATTAGAATACTAATGAAGTTGGGTTAACGCTATTATCTATCATGTTAAAATATTTGGGTTTTTTTGGAAACAGAACGCTCAAGAGATCACGTTATGTGTCATCCACTATCTCTTTCTTCCTAGACTCTTGGAGGAGCCCAAAAGGATGAGAAGGAGACTTGTGTCATTGCTCTGGACATATCTGAGCTTTCATTCATGGACACAACCCTAGACATTGAAAATTCAGTTGTGCTGTCATTGTAAGAGCGTCAGCAGGTCTGTGCCAATATGTATATAGGCCGTTCGCTCCCACAGTAGCATAAACCATCTAATTTATATAAAACACTACACAGAGAGGTTGTTATGATGAATGATAGAGACTTCAGTTCTGATTCTCACCTTGATGATAGTTGGGATAAATTGAGATAAACACTTGCACAATAAACCTTAATGGAACAACTGAAAAAGTTAAGAGACCAGATTATGCCTGATGCTATGCATGGATTTATATATCTTCACACATATATTATATATTTTATTGTAGGATAAGTCTGTCAACTTATAGAATTAATAGATTTATTAGGGGTGTATGAGGCTGCAGGCCTCTCTTTTGTACGTCATGCATTTCTTGTCCGTGTAGTGAAGAAGCAATCACCTGTCAACAACATGATTGCGGTTTGCCTTGGATTTAGACACCTTTCCTCAAAAAGAGAAAAATCAAAAACACGCTGATGTGTTTATGTTGCTTACTTGCACTCATAAGAGCACTCACGCCTTTTATTGGCATAATACATATACTACAGAATATCTAAGCAGTAAGGGTGATTATTATATTTCCTTTGTGACTGTGAAAGTTTCATAACTCACAGATATCCCAAATGCCTTCAGAGTTTGTGAGTTATTAAGGTCACTCATGTGGAAAAAAAAAACCCAAACAACTCTTTACTGGTGAAATATTCAATTTGCTTTATGAGGAATATTTTTTTATTGATCACCATTCCAGTAATAGCAGGCAGCCAGTCTCTATAGCACAGTGGAAATTTTTGTCCATGTCTAACACAATTTTTTTTTTTCAGCTGTCTGGTATTTTAGTTTTTGCTGATGCAAAATGCAGAAGGGAGCAAGACTTATATAAGCATACTTATAACCCTGGCCTCTAAAGCTACTGGATTTTATCAATATCTCGGCTTTCACTTAAAGAGAGGTAAACATCTAGTCCTAATTCATTGCAGTTAATCTACAGGAACATAAAACTGATTTCAAGAACAACTTGAAACTCTTGCCGGAAGCTGTAAAGCGTTTCAGTCATCTTACCAGGTTGCTCAAGCTGAGGACATGACTTCAGCACGTAACTAAGCGCAGACCAGAAATCCCAGGTCTTACTGCCGAATGGTCTTGCTCTGGCCCTGGAAGCAATACAGCAATATTACTGTACCCTAGCCTGGGGCTAATTACTTGTTACTACTACATTAGAGAGGGTAATTAGTCAAGCTGAGTATCACATCAACACAGCAATGCTGCCCCCGGGGCCTGAGCTAGTATGTCTGTCTGTACTTTTGTCTATACTTCTATACGTGAGGCTGGAACACGCTTGAGGAGAGGTGGCGGGGCCTGCGCCTTCCCCCCTCACGCGCCTTCCTCCCTCACGCCTCAGGCGCAGCCGCCACCAGG